ATTTTCTATAAAAAAGATAAATTTTCCGAAAATGTTCTATAAAAAAGATAAATTTTCAATAAGAAAGAGAAATTTTCTATAAAAAAGATAAATTTCCGAAAAGTTTCTATAAAAAAGATAAATTTTCCGAAAAGTTTCTATAAGAAAGATAAATTTTCCGAAAATTTTCTATAAGAAAGATAAATTTTCCGAAAATTTTCTATAAGAAAGATAAATTTTCCGAAAATTTTCTATAAGAAAGATAAATTTTCCGAAAATTTTCCATAAGAAAGAGAAATTTTCTATAAAAAAGATAAATTTTCCGAAAATTTTCTATAAAAAAGATAAATTTTCTATAAGAAAGAGAAATTTTCTATAAAAAAGATAAATTTTCTATAAAAAAGATAAATTTTTCGAAAATTTTCTATAAAAAAGATAAATTTTTCGAAAATTTTCTATAAAAAAGAGAAATTTTTCGAAAATTTTCTATAAAAAAGAGAAATTTTTCGAAAATTTTCTATAAAAAAGAGAAATTTTTCGAAAATTTTCTATAAAAAAGAGAAATTTTTCGAAAATTTTCTATAAAAAAGAGAAATTTTTCGAAAATTTTCTATAAAAAAGAGAAATTTTCCGAAAATTTTCTATAAGAAAGAGAAATTTTCCGAAAATTTTCTATAGGAAAGAGAAATTTTCCGAAAATTTTCTATAGGAAAGAGAAATTTTCCGAAAATTTTCTATAAGAAAGAGAAATTTTCCGAAAATTTTCTATAAGAAAGAAAAATTTCCGAAAATTTTCTATAAGAAAGAGAAATTTTCCGAAAATTTTCTATAAGAAAGAGAAATTTTCCGAAAATTTTCTATAAGAAAGAGAAATTTTCCGAAAATTTTCTATAAGAAAGAGAAATTTTCCGAAAATTTTCCGAATATTTTTTACAGAAAGAGAAATTTTTTATAAAAAGTAAAATTATCCGAAAATTTTTTATGAAATTAGAAATTTTCTGAAAATGTTCTATAAAATGAGAGAATTTCCAAAAATTTTTTACAGAATACTTTTTAGTTTGTTTTTAGGAAATATTTGAGAACTTATTTTTAAAAAATTCGTCTTTATTTATAAAAATCCGAAATAACATCTACTTTTTTTTGCAAATTTGTCAACTTTTCTCTTTATGCATTATCATCTCCACTGTACAAAGCTCCTTTTAGCTATAGCAAACACACAAAGAAAGATAACGTAAACAGCAACAAATCATCAACATCCTTTCTTCCCGACTTAGTGTAATACATTCAACATTTACATTATAAATAAAGTTATCATGCTGTCTGTTAGATTAAAAAAAGAAACAAAAATAAAACTCAATATACAAATACGAATTTTTATTAGGAAAAAGTTTCATTTGCAACAATTCAAAAGCTATCTACATTCGTAGCAGCGGCAGCAGCAAAAGCTGTATGTAGAGAAAGGATGTGACAGACACAGCAGGATATAGGAATTTCATAGTTTGTAAACAAATAATGAAGAACATTGATTTTCAAGGGCGTGACGGGCGAAAAGAAAATATATCGAACTGGCAAATACACTTTGATAAAAGTGACAGAAAAATGGAAATAAGCTGAAATGGGGAAATGTGTTTGGATATGAAGAGCAAAAGAAGCAATAAATCAATTTTCTTCTTTTTTATATAACCGAATAATTCAATGTAGCTAAATTAAATATGTATGTTCTGGGTTTGTTTTATATGTATATGAAGATTTTGCGAAGCGAGGGTGAGGTGTAAAATGTGTAGACTTAAGTTCAAATCTTAATCAGTTCTAGTTCAGCTCAAGTTCAATTCTAGTTCAGTTCTAGTTCAGTTCTAGTTCAGTTCTAGTTCAGTTCTAGTTCACTTCTAGTTCAGTTCTAGTTCAGTTCTAGTTCAGTTCTAGTTCAGTTCTAGTTCAGTTCTAGTTCAGTTGTTCTAGTTCAGTTCTAGTTCAGTTCTAGTTCAGTTCTAGTTCAGTTCTAGTTCAGTTCTAGTTCAGTTCTAGTTCAGTTTTTCTAGTTCAGTTCTAGTTCAGTTCTAGTTCAGTTCTAGTTCAGTTCTAGTTCAGTTCTAGTTCAGTTCTAGTTTCAGTTCTAGTTCAGTTCTAGTTCAGTTCTAGTTCAGTTCTAGTTCAGTTCTAGTTCAGTTCTAGTTCAGTTCTAGTTCAGTTCTAGTTCAGTTCTAGTTCAGTTCTAGTTCAGTTCTAGTTCAGTTCTAGTTCAGTTCTAGTTCAGTTCTAGTTCAGTTCTAGTTCAGTTTAGTTCAGTTCTAGTTCAGTTCTAGTTCAGTTCTAGTTCAGTTCTAGTTCAGTTCTAGTTCAGTTCTAGTTCAGTTCTAGTTCAGTTCTAGTTCAGTTTCTAGTTCAGTTCTAGTTCAGTTCTAGTTCAGTTCTAGTTCAGTTCTAGTTCAGTTCTAGTTCTTTTCAGTTCTAGTTCAGTTCTAGTTCAGTTCTAGTTCAGTTCTAGTTCAGTTCTAGTTCAGTTCTAGTTCAGTTCTAGTTCAGTTCTAGTTCAGTTTAGTTCAGTTTTAGTTCAGTTCTAGTTCAGTTCTAGTTCAGTTTTTCTAGTTCAGTTCTAGTTCAGTTCTAGTTCAGTTCTAGTTCAGTTCTAGTTCAGTTCTAGTTCAGTTCTAGTTCAGTTCTAGTTCAGTTCTAGTTCAGTTCTAGTTCAGTTCTAGTTCAGTTCTAGTTCAGTTCTAGTTCAGTTCTAGTTCAGTTCTAGTTCAGTTCTAGTTCAGTTCTAGTTCAGTTCTAGTTCAGTTCTAGTTCAGTTCTAGTTCAGTTCTAGTTCAGTTCTAGTTCAGTTCTAGTTCAGTTCTAGTTCAGTTTCTAGTTCAGTTCTAGTTCAGTTCTAGTTCAGTTCTAGTTCAGTTTTTCTAGTTCAGTTCTAGTTCTAGTTCAGTTCTAGTTCAGTTCTAGTTCAGTTCTAGTTCAGTTCTAGTTTTCAGTTCTAGTTCAGTTCTAGTTCAGTTCTAGTTCAGTTCTAGTTCAGTTCTAGTTCAGTTCTAGTTCAGTTCTAGTTTAGTTCTAGTTCAGTTCTAGTTCAGTTCTAGTTCAGTTCTAGTTCAGTTCTAGTTCAGTTCTAGTTCAGTTCTAGTTCAGTTCTAGTTCAGTTCTAGTTTCTAGTTCAGTTTCTAGTTCAGTTCTAGTTCAGTTTCTAGTTCAGTTCTAGTTCAGTTCTAGTTCTAGTTTCAGTTCTAGTTCTTTCTAGTTCAGTTCTAGTTCAGTTCTAGTTCAGTTCTAGTTCAGTTCTAGTTCAGTTCTAGTTCAGTTCTAGTTCAGTTCTAGTTCAGTTCTAGTTCAGTTCTAGTTCTAGTTCTTCTAGTTCAGTTCTAGTTCAGTTCTAGTTCAGTTCTAGTTCAGTTCTAGTTCAGTTCTAGTTCAGTTCTAGTTCAGTTCTAGTTCAGTTCTAGTTCAGTTCTAGTTCAGTTCTAGTTCAGTTCTAGTTCAGTTCTAGTTCAGTTCTAGTTCAGTTCTAGTTCAGTTCTAGTTCAGTTCTAGTTCAGTTCTAGATCAGTTCTAGTTCAGTTCTAGATCAGTTCTAGTTCAGTTCTAGTTCAGTTCTAGTTCAGTTCTAGTTCAGTTCTAGTTCAGTTCTAGTTCAGTTCTAGTTCAGTTCTAGTTCTAGTTCAGTTCTAGTTCAGTTCTAGTTCAGTTCTAGTTCTAGTTCAGTTCTAGTTCAGTTCTAGTTCAGTTCTAGTTCTGGTTCAGTTCTAGTTCAGTTCTAGTTCAGTTCTAGTTCAGTTCTAGTTCAGTTCTAGTTCAGTTCTAGTTCAGTTCTAGTTCAGTTCTAGTTCAGTTCTAGTTCAGTTCTAGTTCAGTTCTAGTTCAGTTCTAGTTCAGTTCTAGTTCAGTTCTAGTTCAGTTCTAGTTCAGTTCTAGTTCAGTTCTAGTTTAGTTCTAGTTCAGTTCTAGTTCAGTTCTAGTTCAGTTCTAGTTCAGTTCTAGTTCAGTTCTAGTTCAGTTCTAGTTCAGTTCTAGTTCAGTTCTAGTTCAGTTCTAGTTCAGTTCTAGTTCAGTTCTAGTTCAGTTCTAGTTCAGTTCTAGTTCAGTTCTAGTTCAGTTCTAGTTCAGTTCTAGTTCAGTTCTAGTTCAGTTCTAGTTCAGTTCTAGTTCAGTTCTAGTTCAGTTCTAGTTCAGTTCTAGTTCAGTTCTAGTTCAGTTCTAGTTCAGTTCTAGTTCAGTTCTAGTTCAGTTCTAGTTCAGTTCTAGTTCAGTTCTAGTTCAGTTCTAGTTCAGTCCTAGTTCAGTTCTAGTTCAGTTCTAGTTCAGTTCTAGTTCAGTTCTAGTTCAGTTCTAGTTCAGTTCTAGTTCAGTTCTAGTTCAGTTCTGTTCAGTAGTTCAGTTCTAGTTCAGTTCTAGTTCAGTTCTAGTTCAAGTTAGTTCAGTTCTAGTTCAGTTCTAGTTCAGTTCTAGTTCTAGTTCAGTTCTAGTTCAGTTCTAGTTCAGTTCTAGTTCAGTTCTAGTTCGTTCTAGTTCAGTTCTAGTTCAGTTCTAGTTCAGTTCTAGTTCAGTTCTAGTTCAGTTCTAGTTCAGTTCTAGTTCAGTTCTAGTTCAGTTCTAGTTCAGTTCTAGTTCAGTTTATGTATTTTAAAAATATTTAAAAAATAAAAACTCTTGGTTTTATATTTGAATTCTGATAATTAGTTTAAAAGGTTATTTTATAAATAGTAAAATATCATAAAAGATTTAAATCTGTTTTTCTCGAAACGTCTTTTTGGATTATACGAGTAGTAAATGAGCGATATAACTATCAATTTATTTTCAATTATCTTCTTCTCCCCACGATTCCATTTTGTTGTTGTTGCGTTAAAGATAATTTTCTTCTGAATAAATTTACTACCTTTACTTATGAAAACTATATTTAACAGCTTAGTGTTAGTTTTTCAGATTTGTTTCATGTTTTTGCATCGTGGAGAAAAATTATAAATGAAACTATTTCCTAGAAAAATTTGCAAAAAAAAAATATATATATGTATGTATGTTTGTATATAAAAACTTACATAGTTTTGAGCAAGGTCAGGATGATTTGTTTGTATGCCATCGTCCAAGATTGAAACAACTACACCCTTGCCGGTATAACCTTTTTGCCAAGCAGGTCCAATATTCATGTCCAAACCATCTTTGGCGCCACCATTCTGTTTTGTTTACATTCATAAATACACACATAATTGAGCACATCCGGTTAAGAGAGCGAGCCAACAATATAGACAAACATCACATAGTAAGAACGAGTGGTATGAAGTACCGTTACCAGTGGCCAACATTGTCGTCAACGTGGTTGTGTATGCATTAATAAATTAAATTGATTGTATGAAAAATAGGGGGAGAAAAAAGAGAAAATTTAGAGAGGGAATATGTAAAAGAAACTTGTAAAATATATAAATTAAAAACTAATTTATTTGTTAAAGTCACTACTTATATGTATGTGTAAAAAAGTTTTAGTTTTTTAGTATAATTCTTTTATAAAAACACATTTTTAAAGTAACAAAAACCCTTTTATATTTTAGTATGTGTCTGTTTGTTAGTGTAGTTGTGTTGTTCTTGTAGTTGGATTTTTTACTTTCTATCATTGTTGCTTTTTTACTAATACGTTTTTAATTACTTTACACCACTAGCAGTAGTAGCATCTTCCGTGACTACAGTTAGCAGCAGTATTGTTCGTTAGTAAATAATGTTATCAAACAGACAACTAAAACAATCCCTTTTAGCATCTTTTTTCTTATACATCTTCTCGTTTTGCTTTTTGTTTGTAAATAAATATTATTATTTTCTTTTAATTTTGTAATGTTTACAAAGTACACGATTCTTAGTGTCACTTTGCCAAAACGTTAATTAGCGTAAATATAAATATTTTCGCAGAAATTCTTTTTAATTACATGTTTAGTCTAGTGCTTACGTTAAGGCTTTTGTAAAAGAGATAAAATGTAATTGAAAGATAGAATTTGTTTCAAAGAAGAATTAAATTTATAAAGGAACTTTTTTAAATTATTTAAAAAAGGTTAAATTTTGTATTCAGTTCTGTTCTAGTTCTGTTCTAGTTTTATTCTAATTCTGTTCTAGTTCTGTTCTACTTCTGTTCTAGTTCTGTTCTAGTTCTGTTCTAGTTCTGTTCTAGTTCTGTTCTAGTTCTGTTCTAGTTCTGTTCTAGTTCTGTTCTAGTTCTGTTCTAGTTCTGTTCTAGTTCTGTTCTAGTTCTGTTCTAGTTCTGTTCTAGTTCTGTTCTAGTTCTGTTCTAGTTCTGTTCTAGTTCTGTTCTAGTTCTGTTCCTAGTTCTGGTTCTAGTTCTGTTCTAGTTCTGTTCTAGTTCTGTGTTCTAGTTCTGTTCTAGTTCTGTTCTAGTTCTGTTTCTAGTTCTGTTCTAGTTCTGTTCTAAGGTTCTGTTCTAGTTCTGTTCTAGTTCTGTTCTAGTTCTGTTCTAGTTCTGTTCTAGTTCTGTTCTAGTTCTGGTTCTAGTTCTGTTCTAGTTCTGTTCTAGTTCTGTTCTAGTTCTGTTCTGTTAGTTCTGTTCTAGTTCTGTTCTAGTTCTGTTCTAGTTCTGTTCTAGTTCTGTTCTAGTTCTGTTCTAGTTCTGTTCTAGTTCTGTTCTAGTTCTGGTTCTATTCTGGTTCTATTCTGGTTCTGTTCTGGTTCTGTTCTGGTTCTGGTTCTGTTCTGGTGTCTGTTCTGGTTCTGGTTCTGTTCTGGTTCTGTTCTGGGTCTGTTCTGGTTCTGTTCTGGTTCTGTTCTGGTTCTGTTCTGTTCTGTTCTGGTTTCTGTTCTGTTCTGTTCTGGTTCTGTTCTGGTTCTGGTTCTGTTCTGGTTTGTTCTGGTTCTGTTCTGGTTCTGTTCTGGTTCTGTTCTGGTTCTGTTCTGGTTCTGTTCTGGTTCTGTTCTGGCTCTGTTCTGGTTCTGTTCTGGTTCTGTTCTGGTTCTGTTATGGTTCTGTTCTGGCTCTGTTCTGGTTCTGTTCTGGTTCTGTTCTGGTTCTGTTCTGGTTCTGTTCTGGTTCTGTTCTGGTTCTGTTCTAGTTCTGTTCTGGTTCTGTTCTGGTTCTGTTCTGGTTCTGTTCTGGTTCTGTTCTGGTTCTGTTCTGGTTCTGTTCTGTTCTGGTTCTGTTCTGGTTCTGTTCTTTTTCTGTTCCGGTTCTGCCTCTGTTATGGTTCTGTTCCAGTTCTAATTCTGTTCTACTATTTTCGTCGAAAATGAAATAGATTTCAAAATATTTCTACAGCTTTTTTAAAGTAACAAGCAAATTACAATACAATACAATACAATTTAAATTTGTTTTGTACTTCATTTGTTTATTAATCAGTTTGTTATTATCCTTCGTTTACTAATGCATACTAATGTAAATGCATATGATTATATTTGTTTATTACTTCCTGCAGGGAATGCAGATAAAAAAACTAATAAAAAACATAATGCTTTTATAGTTGTGGTAGTCAACTTTCAATATGCAATCGTATTATGACTGCAATGTATTACTATACTTAATACAAAAGAGGAAAAAGATTTTTAATAACTTAAAAGTTTTAAGTGGGTACTAGAACAAGAAGACAAAAATATGCTTGACTATAAAAATGTGAGTATAATAAGAAGTAAGTCTGCTTTGACTAATTTATGATTTACATAATAAAGGCACCACATATGTCCTAAAATTTTTTTGCAGTTCCTTTTTATGTTGGAAGTTTAAGGACAAAATGGAAGTTAAAATATACATATAACGAAGAAAAATGGAAAGGCCAACGATTGTTTGTGAGTCTTGATAATCAATTTTAGAGTACGAGTTTTATTTTATATTGATGAAAGTAACCACTAGTAACTGAAATTATATAAAAATTATAAGACAAAAACGGATTCTAAAAGCAATCTAAAGTACACATATTATTCTTAGATTCCTTTATATTCCTTTAAATGTATATTTAATCAATATAATTAATCAATATATTAAAAATTAATATAATCAATATATTAAACGAGAGTTATAACTAACTATATGTAAGTTTGTACTTCTATTTGTGTAGATGTACCAACTTTTTTGTATTTGTAGAATTTTAAGTACATAGTTATGTACATATGTATGTAATGTTATACTTAAATACATACACATACATAGGTATGTAGTAAATACATATTATGTGGTCTTGTTACCAGCATGTAGTCTGTGGTTTTCGAAATGAAATTTTCTTGTTAAATATTTTACTAAAGTGCTGAAGAAAATCAAAAAAACTTCAAATGAATTACAAATGTGTTTTTGGTACATTTCTGTGTGTGGGTCTGAATGTGAGTTGCATATAAAAATGTTAATATGTTTTTCAAAATTTAACAAAAACAACAATTGGTAAAACATTATTTTAGAAAAAAAATACGTACATACATACGTATGAAAAATAGAAATGTTCAATTGTTATTTTGCATTTGACATATAAACTAAATAATAGAGACAGACAGCTGAGACAAATACAAGCAGAGACAGACCAGATATTTAATTTTCTTAAGATGTGTAGTCAAATTTAATTACTTGTATTTGCTATTTCATTCTCGATTTTGTAAAGAGGACTGACGTATAACTCGACCATAACTAGAACAGAACTAGAACAGAACTAGAACAGAACTAGAACAAAACTAGAACAGATCTAGAACAAAACTAGAACAGAACTAGAAGAGAACTAGAACAGAACTAGAAACTAGAACAGAACTAGAACAGAACTAGAACAGAACTAGAACAGAACTAGAACAGAACTAGAACAGATCTAGAACAGAATCTAGAACAGAACTAGAACAGAACTAGAACAGAACTAGAACAGAACTAGAACAGAACTAGAACAGAACATAGAACAGAACTAGAACAGACTAGAACAGAACTAGAACAGAACTAGAAAGAACTAAGATCTAGAACAGATCTAGAACAGAACTAGAACAGAAGTAGAACAGAACTAGAACAGAACTAGAACAGAACTAGAACAGAACTAGAACAGAACTAGAACAGAACTAGAAAAGAAACTAGAACAGAACTAGAACAAAACTAGAACAGATCTAGAACAAAACTAGAACAGAACTAGAAGAGAACTAGAACAGAAATAGAACAGAACTAGAACAGAACTAGAACAGAACTAGAACAGAACTAGAACAGATCTAGAACAGATCTAGAACAGAACTAGAACAGAAGTAGAACAGAACTAGAACAGAACTAGAACAGAACTAGAACAGAACTAGAACAGAACTAGAACAGAACTAGAACAGAACTAGAACAGAACTAGAAAAGAACTAGAAAGAACTAGAACAGAACTAGAACAGAACTAGAACAGAACTAAACTAGAACAGAACTAGAACAGAACTAGAACAGAACTAGAACAGAACTAGAACAGAACTAGAACAGAACTAGAACAGAACTAGAACAGAACTAGAACAGAACTAGAACAGAACTAGAACAGAACTAGAACAGAACTAGAACAGAACTAGAACAGAACTAGAACAGAACTAGAACAGAACTAGAACAGAACTAAGAACAGAACTACAACAGAACTAGAACAGAACTAGAACAGAAGTAGAACAGAACTAGAACAGAACTAGAACAGAACTAGAACAGAACTAGAACAGAACTAGAACAGAACTAGAACAGAACCAGAACAGAACTAGAACAGAACTAGAACAGAACTAGAACTAGAACAGAACAGAACAGAACAGAACTAGAACTAGAACTAGAACAGAACAGAACTAGAACTAGAACAGAAAAGAACAGAACAGAACTAGAACTAGAACTAGAACAGAACTAGAACAGAACTAGAACAGAACTAGAACAGAACTAGAACAGAACTAGAACAGAACTAGAACAGAACTAGAACAGCACTAGAACAGAACTAGAACAGAACTAGAACAGAACTTGAACAGAACTAGAACAGAACTAGAACAGAACTAGAACAGAACTAGAACAGAACTAGAACAGAACTAGAACAGAACTAGAACAGAACTAGAACAGAACTAGAACAGAACTAGAACAGAACTAGAACAGAACTAGAACAGAACTAGAACAGAACTAGAACAGAACTAGAACAGAACTAGAACAGAACTAGAACAGAACTAGAACAGAACAAGAACAGAACTAGAACAGAACTAGAACAGAACTAGAACAGAACTAGAACAGAACTAGAACAGAACTAGAACAGCACTAGAACAGCACTAGAACAGCACTAGAACAGCACTAGAACAGCACTAGAACAGAACTAGAACAGAACTTGAACAGAACTAGAACTGAACTAGAACTGAACTAGAACTGAACTAGAACTGATCTAGAACTGAACTAGAACAGAACTAGAACAGAACTAGAACTGAACTAGAACTGAACTAGAACTGAACTAGAACTGAACTAGAACTGAACTAGAACTGAACTAGAACTGAACTAGAACTGAACTAGAACTGAACTAGAACTGAACTAGAACTGAACTAGAACTAGAACTGAACTAGAACTGAACTAGAACTGAACTAGAACTGAACTAGAACTGAACTAGAACTGAACTAGAACTGAACTAGAACTGAACTAGAACTGAACTAGAACTAAACTAGAACTAAACTAGAACTGAACTAGAACTGAACTAGAACTGAACTAGAACTGAACTAGAACTGAACTAGAACTGAACTAGAACTGAACTAGAACTGAACTAGAACTGAACTAGAACTGAACTAGAACTGAACTAGAACTGAACTAGAACTGATCTAGAACTGAACTAGAACTGATCTAGAACTGAACTAGAACTGAACTAGAACTGAACTAGAACTGAACTAGAACTGAACTAGAACTGAACTAGAACTGAACTAGAACTGAACTAGAACTGAACTAGAACTGAACTAGAACTGAAGTAGAACTGAACTAGAACTGAACTAGAACTGAACTAGAACTGAACCAGAACTGAACTAGAACTAGAACTGAACTAGAACTGAACTAGAACGAACTAGAACAGAACTAGAACTGAACTAGAACTGAACTAGAACTGAACTAGAACTGAACTAGAACTGAACTAGAACTGAACTAGATCTGAACTAGAACTGAACTAGAACTGAACTAAAACTGAACTAGAACTGAACTAGAACTGAACTAGAACTGAACTAGAACTGAACTAGAACTGAACTAGAACTGAACTAGAACTGAACTAGAACTGAACTGAACTAGAACTGAACTAGAACTGAACTAGAACTGAACTAGAACTGAACTAGAACTGAACTAGAACTGAACTAGAACTGAACTAGAACTGAACTAGAACTGAACTAGAACTGAACTAGAACTGAACTAGAACTGAACTAGAACTGAACTAGAACTGAACTAGAACTGAACTAGAACTGAACTAGAACTGAACTAGAACTGAACTAGAACTGAACTAGAACTGACTAGACTGAACTAGAACTGAACTAGAACTGAACTAGAACTGAACTAGAACTGAACTAGAACTGAACTAGAACTGAACTAGAACTGAACTAGAACTGAACTAGAACTGAACTAGAACTGAACTAGAACTGAACTAGAACTGAACTAGAACTGAACTAGAAACTGAACTAGAACTGAACTAGAACTGAACTAGAACTGAACTAGAACTGAACTAGAACTGAACTAGAACTGAACTAGAACTGAACTAGAACTGAACTAGAACTGAACTAGAACTGAACTAGAACTGAACTAGAACTGAACTAGAACTGAACTAGAACTGAACTAGAACTGAACTAGAACTGAACTAGAACTGAACTAGAACTGAACTAGAACTGAACTAGAACTGAACTAGAATTGAACTAGAACTGAACTAGAACTGAACTAGAACTGAACTAGAACTGAACTAGAACTAGAACTGAACTAGAACTGAATTAGAACTGAACTAGAACTGAACTGGAACTGTAAAGTATACATTTAAGATAAAATATATCTATGTGTTGCATATGTTAAGGGATTTGCTGTAACACCTATAGTTTGTTAATTTTCGATTAGTTTTCCATATTAACTATTTGATTTTACTATTTTATTAATTTCAGGATTATTAAAATAAATATTATAATTTGTGTACGTTTTTTAATAGTTATCAAATTATTAAAAGAAGACCTTTAAAAGTATTAGTTCTTACTATTTATATTATAATTATAGTTATTTCTATTTCAAAAAGCATACCGTGTATTAACAGTTTTATAACATTTTACCACTATGGTGTTAAGGAATTCCATTGCCAACCCTTTAATTTTCTGTTTTGCATATTTTTCTATATTTTAAATTTGTGCGTTTTTCTTCTTCTACGATAGCAAACAAAAATGATAGAAATCAAATCTTACACATACTTTACTCACCAAGTACCATTGTTCCTTGAACAAGGGATCGGGAAAGATATTGTGTGGTCCGGCATCACGGTATTGTATGCGTGGTGCCCGCGGTACTAACGGACGATACACCGAGGTGGGATGATATGATAAACGTGTAGTGGGCATACTGCCAAAACCAGTCGAGGGACGTACAACATCGTAGGGACTATAGCCGGCTATACTGCTAAAGGAGCCATCACGTTTCTGGCGGATTTTTTCATGTTGCTGTTCTAACCATCTAACCTGTAGGGGGAGGGGTTTTAAAAATAAATATTTGAAATTGTTGAATGTTTTTAAAATATTGTAAGAAATGTTAAGAAGACTTACTTCAGGTTCAGCATTTAAGGCGCTATGGTGTTCATCACTAGTTCTTAGGGAACGTTTTGAGATGCGTTTATGATGGAATAAATAGTAGTCTTGTAGAGAACCAATCTGTAAGTTATTAAAGGAAAATAAATTTATATTAAAATGTTTAGAAAAATACTCTAACAATATGCTTTATATTTAAGTTATAAATTATGTTAACCTAAAAGTATGCAATATTTAAAGAAAAATCTCACAAAGGACTTTATTTAGATAATAGAAATACATATATTTTCCAGCAATAAGGAAAACCTATATTAATATATTTTTAATTAAAATGATTTACTGAAATGATACACAAAACATATTGTAAATCTGTCCTTTTTTTGACCCAATATTTGAAATATTTAAGGTTTCTATTTAAAATTTCTATTATTATATTAACAAACATTTTCATTTGTTTTTAATTATTTTTGCTAAAACAATTAAACGAAAAAATTCCTAAAATAAGTAAAAAAAAAAACAACCTCAAAGTATGCTATACTTTCTTCACGATATTTTACAATTTCCTGCTCTTCGATTTCCTTATCTATTTTCTTTTTATATAATTTCCTTTTTAATTAAGTTATAATTATTGCCAAGAAGAATTTATAGCTAGAACATGGAAAGAATGTATGTAAGAAAATCAATTTCAAATTAAATGAAAACTTACAAAATATGATTGTAAAACATACCTAATACTTACACTTTTAACAAAAAATATAAAATGAATTTCAAGAAAAACTGACCCAGCCACAAGTAAACAACATTATGTAACGACAACAGCAACAACAAAAAAGTTAATTAAATTGTTAAAAATGTCATCAGGTAAATATTACTGTGAACAATAACAAAAAAAGTAATAATAAAGCTGAAAGCAATTGTGGTTCGAAAAAAACATAAAATTGTTTTGAAACCCTTGATAGAAAATGTAGACCATAAAAATTTAAAGAATTATTTTCTTAAAAATTTAATGAGAATTTTTCTGTTTCAACAGGATTTTTTATACCCTACACCACTTTATTGGGGAGGGTATATTGGGTTTGTGCTGATGTGCAATAATATTGGTCCTATACCCAAGTATACCAATCGGCTTATAATCACTTTCTGACTCGATTTAGCTATGTCCGTCCGTCTGTCCGTCCGTCCGTCTGTCCATCTAAACCTTGTAATCAAACTACAGGTAGCTATTTTGAAGACAATTCAATGAAATTTGTTACATGATCTTCTATTGTCACAGGGACGAAGCCTATTGAAAATGGTTAAGATCGGTCCATTATTTTACCTAGCCCCCATACAACTTAACCCCCGAATACTGCTTTTAAACTTTGTAATCAAACTACAGATAATTCACTGAAATTTGGCACACGATCTTCTATGATACCGGAGACGAAGCCCATTGAAAATGGTTATGTTCCCACCATTATTTTACCTAGCCCCCATACAACCGAACCCGCCGAATAGGGCTCTTAAGTTCATAATTATGTTTAATATACTCGTATTTCGACAAAAAGCTGTATAATCAAGTTCTATACTAGCCTTGATGACCCTCATGAATTTTATAATTATAGGGTCTCATTTGGCCATAGCTCCTATACAAAGCCCCCTTCAAAATTTGACTTAAATGTCCACAATTTTATTCAACAATAAATGGCATAAGTATATCTGAGGCAACATACAATTCAATTTAAATGCTTTATTATGAAAACTAAATCACATTTTATTTTTGTAACAGGTGTAGGGTATTATATGGTCGGCCTGGCCCGACTACAATTTCTTACTTGTTTTCTCATTTTCTTTTTTGCTAGCATGTAGTTTATTTTACTTTTTTTTTTTGATTTTTTTCTTTGAGCGGAAACACTGAGAGAGGGAAATGTTATATAAAAATCTTTATACATATATTTTATTTCCGTCAACCAACATGTTCATTTTTTAAATCAATTTATTTATGTTTTTATTAGTGATTGAATTTAGTATAGCAATTTGTTCTAGAGTTAAATTAATAAAAAAACAACTTTAAAGATTTAACAATCAATAATCAATCGCAAATATTGAAAAAAAAAAATTTCTTATAAAAATTTTAAAACTTCCTTTTTACTGAAGCAGGAGAAGTGTATATTGAAAAAAGGGAATTGTAAGTAAGGTTTTCTTGTGAATTTTTTTTTTTTTTTTGAAAAAAAGCTTTTATGGAAAAGCTTTTTTATAAAAGCTCTTTTTGTTAAGCTTTACAAAAATGTCTATGGAATAAATTTATTTACTATTAAAAAATCATGCCGATTTAAACAATAAGAATCAAAAAAGCTCTTTTTTGTTTCAAAAAGCTTTTTCTGTAAAAGAAGCTTTTTTGCTATAAAGTTGTGAAATTGTTTTTTTTTTTTTTTGTGAAAAATATTATTTCTATTTTTTAAGAAAAAGCTTTTCTTTGCAAAAAAGTACTTTTTTGGCATCTTATTTCTAAAAAAAAATAAGTTCTTTTAACAAAGCTTTCTCTTCTTTTAAAAAGCTTTGTTTTTTTTCTTTTTTGTAAAAATAATGTTTTTTATATAAAAAATTATTTAAAGTTTAGTTTAAATAACAGCTTAAGCTATTTTATAAAGCTTTTTCACAGTTTTTTTCCTTTAAAATTGAAATAAAAAAAGCTTTTTAGTATAAACGAACTAATTTTTGTTTAAGAAATATCATATATAAATCATATTATTTGTGCAAAACCTTATTTATTTTAATTAAGTTTCTGTTTCTGTAAAAAGCTTCTTTCGGTTTGGTAAAAACATTTGTAAGACAACTTATTTTTATAGGAAAGCTTTTCTGTTGAAAAAGGATTATTGTCGTAGGACAATTTTTTCCATGCGTTTATTTTTTCTTAAAAGCTCTACTTTTGCTAAGTTTTTTTTTTTTTTTGAAAGCAAAACTTATTGTTTTAAAAAAAAGGTTATTTTCTTTTAAAATGGTTATTTTTCTGGAAAAAAGCTTACTTTTGTCAAAAAATACATGCTGTTGTAAAAAGTGTAAATTTTGTAAAAAAATATATTTTTGCAAAAAGGCTTAATTTTTGTAAAAAAGTTTAATTTTTGTAAAAAAAGTTTAATTTTTGTAAAAACGTTTAATTTTTGTAAAAAAGCTTAATTTTTGCGAAATAAGCTTCTGTTTTTTTGTAAAAAAAAGTTGTAAGAAAACTTACTTTCTTAAGAAATATTTCTGTTGAAAAAGGATTCTTATACGCTTATTTCTTCTTAAAAGCTCTTCTTTTGTTAAGTTTTTTTTAAAAGCTTTTTCACAGGTTTTTCTGCTAAAAAATTAAAATTCAAAAAACTTATTTTCAATAAAAGCATTATTTTTGAAAGTAAAACTTATCGTTTTATAAAAAAGCTTATTTTCTTCTAAAAATGTGGAAAAAAGCTTACTTTTGTAAAAAAATATGTTGTTGTAAATAAAGCTTAATTTTTGTAAAAAAGCTTAATTTTTGTAAAAAAAAGCATAATTTTTGTAAAAAAAAACTTAATTTTTGTAAAAACCTTAATTTTTGTAAAAAATCTTAATTTTTGTAAAAAAGTTTAATTTTTGTAAAAAAGTTTAATTTTTGTAAAAAAGTTTAATTTTGTAAAAAAGTTTAATTTTTGTACAAAAGCCTAATTTTTGTGAAAAAAATATTTTTCATAAAAATGTATAAATGTTTGTTTTTTTTAATCGTAAAAAAGCTCGTTTTATATAAAAGCTTTTCATTTGTTAATCTTATTTAAAAGTGTTTTTCCTACTGCAAGCTACTTTTTAGTAAACAATACTTTTTGTTTCAAAAATATAAAAAAGCTTTCATAATTTTTTTTGTTAAAAAGCTCTTATATTCGTTTTTTAAAAGTCCTTTCTATAAAAATAAAACCTTTTCATAAAAATATCATAGCTTTTTAAGAAAAAAAGTTTTTATAAAAAGACTCAAAATTATTTTACAAAAGCTTTTTATGTAAAGAAGATATTTTGCCAGTTTTATTTCCAGTAACTTACCAGCAGTTAAACAAATTTTGGAATATTTATACAAAAGCTTACATTAATATTTGGCTATCAATCAGGATTGCCCACTCAAAACCTCTGGTCTTTTTAACGTAACTGCCAGTCAGTTATCTTGATGGCAAAATCCTTAGTTTTTTTAAATACATGTAAATATTATTTTTACTTTTACCACAAAATGATATTTGAATTAAAGCAAATTAAGTTTGTTTCTGTGGCTTTTAACACAGAAAATAACTCTCTTAAAAATCTTTTTTTAAGCTGTACATGTTATACGTTTATCTCGAAGAAGGAAAAAAAAACAAGAAAATACGACAAAAAAAAAAAAAAAAAACAGAAATAAGAAAAATGTCTTTATAACTTAACTGAAAATACCAGAAAATCTTATTGATTAAGAGAGCGAAAGACTAAAGAAGATTTCAAAGCTAAAGTTTTACACACAACAAAATTCCCTTAACAACTGCAAAGTTTTGACTGCAACTTGTCTTTAGTTTTATTCTTTGCCTTCCACTGCTACTTAATTTCACTGTCATAGAAGAGGAAAAGAAGGAGTGTTTTTAAAACTGTTTGGTAAAAACCAGAGGGTGGAAAGATAACCCAGCAAAATATGCAACAAAATAAAGTTGAAAATTTTTTTCATTTTTTTGAAAAAGTGTGCAGAATTGCTTAGATAAGAATATCTTAAGGGAAACTAAACAGAAACTTTTCTTTTCTACAAAAAATGTTTGCTGGGTTACGACAAAGGCAAGCAAAACTAAGTAACGATTTTTAGCATACTCTGTCCGCAACTATTCTAAGTAGCAACAGTAGTTTATAAAACTTAGTAGTAAATATTAAATTCAAACATATAAACATCAATACCTTAACTATGTATTTATTCTATTTACTTTGCTTTTTTATAGCTGTGCATGTATTTCGAGATATACTGTCAAAAAAGGTCAATATAGTAAAAGCTTTTCTATGCAACAACAAGTTTTAACTAAAAATAAGTTATAACTAGAGTATTAAAATTGGTTTAGCAACCCTCTTTTCGAACAAAGGAAAAGTTGTTGGAGTAGAAAGTGTTAGTGGTAAAGACATACAATTGCTAA